GATCATATATCGCACCACAAAAACACTCAACCCTATAACAATGACTCGACATCCACATCTCAATCTCTCGTGAGAAATCTTGATCAATAGGATTCAACCGTATCGATTGTGAGCAGTTACACATCGAAGACAATACAAGACGATCTATCAATTTTGTAGATTGATGAAGTTAGATCGCAACACTGTTTGATGTCAAGTCAGTAGTATAGATTTAGGCGTTTGTATGTGACGGAGGGTTCTGGATTTGATATCCTGTGTTGGATTTGTGTATGTCGACTTCCGAAGACTACTGTGAAGACTCACACTATTCTGGGACGACCATCCGAGATCAATTCATGATTTCAATAAAAGTACTGGGATTGAGTCCCAGAGTGAACATTAATTTTATGATGCAGGTACATCCAACTGACGAGTCCCAAATAGGACGAAACGTGCGTCCTGGATTCCATTGCTAGCCACTATCAATCTTTGCTTATAATGCTTGTAAATTAAGGTAATGTCAAGGCAATACGCACAGTATGCACATATACCAATAAGAGACTGATCAACTTCAGTCCTAAACATCAATGGGAAAATTCAAGTAAACTACCAAGTGAATTATATTCACAATTTTTTTCATTGAATAGAAAATGGATAAGAATAGAATGTGATCAAGATTTGAGAATGTCAGACGATTGATGGCAGTAGAAAAATAAACAACCTCTTCTTAAATTAGATTTCGAATTAGTTGGCTTATCTATAACGTTGATGAAATTGATATTGTCTGTATTGTTTGAACATGTATCATTCAGATTCACTATCTGAGTTATTATCATTAAATTATTCAATCGTTTAACTAACGAGTTAATCGATATTTCAATCTCATGAACCGATCTAAGACAGACAATCATTAGGCACTGGTGAAACTAATTGACCCGGTATCTAATAGTATACGTTCACTAAATTCATTTGCTTCGTGATAATGTTCAACCAATACCATTGGTTATCAGTATAGGGTTGTGGATATTTTTGGCTTTTACTGAAATCATGAATTGATCGAAGTCAGACCACCATGGAATTCATGGAGGCACAGGACAGTCTCTCAGCATAGTATGGGACTCAACATTAGTCCTCAGAATTCGACATACACAAATCCAACACAGGATATCAAATCCAGAACCCTCCGTCTCACATACAAACGCCTAATATCTATACTACTGACTTGACATCAAACAGTGTTGCGATCTAACTTCATTCAATCTACAAAATTGATAGATCGTCTTGTATTGTCTTCGATGTGTAACTGCTCCACAATCGATACGGTTGAATCCTATTGATCAAGATTTCTCACGAGAGATTGAGACTGTTGGATGTCGAGTCATTGTTCTAGAGGTTGAGTGTTTTTGTGTGTGCGATATATGATCTTGAGTGTGATTACCAAATATGAAGTGATGAATGTACACTGATAAAGAATCTCATACTAGAACGAAATAGCCATTTAATACTTCCATATTTTTAATGATTATTTAACTAATATCAATCCTTGACATAAATCATATTATCTTACACTCATAAAATTGTATATTGTCAATACATGAAAGTCATTGCTGTTTTTTTGTTTGAATTATATACAAAATAAACAGATAATGTATAGCTTCAATTGACCCATGATTTCAACTATTGGAATTACTACAATCTTCACAAAACCCCTTCTGATAGATAATATATAGTCATCATTACATATGTCTACTTCTATATTATTTTGTGGTTATTGTTGTTGTTGACGTATTCATTCATATGAATTGTTTTCAATAATACTGTTTATGTCAATAGCTGAGATCATGAGACAATTGAAGCTACACCACCATAAAAAGCCTGAAAGAACTGGACGGCCGTTTCGTCTTAGTATGGGACTCCCCAGT